CAATTTTAAACAAAAACATGCTACTTACAAATAAATTGACATTACCTGGTTTTTTACAATCTTGTGTAAAGTAAGAAGTCATTAGTTATGGCTGTTTTAATGACTTTGCTACAAAGGTTAAATATGAAAATAACAAACTGAAACCAAACTCTTAAAAATATCGATTAAATATTGCCCATTGTCATGATATAGCATAGGGAAAATCCGTAGACACTTAATCGTGAAATTTAATTAATTACCTAACCATTTGTATGAAAACCCCAAGTAAACATTCGACTTAATGTTAGAAAGTATTCGCTGACAAAGACATTTATCAACCGTAGAAATTGCAAAATGTTGACTTTCAACGAGACTGTTTATGTTCTTTTTTCATCAAGTTAATTGTTTGTCAATAGTTTGCTTAATTTTGGCAATTGTTCGCACGTATAACATATTTTGTATTTCTAACCAACTGGCATATATAAACACCATATGCAGACGATAACATAAATAAGGTGAGGTGACGATTGCAAAGTTGAAGCCATCACGTTAACCATTAGGTTTTGTTATGTCTCTAATAATGTCTTCTATATTTATAAATTATTCAAATATGAAATATATGTACTAGACGCTGTTGTATTATTTATTTCCATTAAAAAAATCTAATGTTAAATTCATTGCTTGTTTGTTTGTTGTACATCTTTCCTCTCGAGAATATTTCACTCCAATGGAGACGCCACCGCTTACCGATGGAGGGCTGTACATTTATACCTACACTCGGCATAAAGCAATTGAGTCGCCCGCTTTGCGCAGTGGTTAGAGGGTCTGCTCTAGATTCGCGAAGTAAGGAGTCGATCCTTACGTCGTGGCTTCGAATCCCACTTTGGGATGTGGAGACCGGTCCTTCGGAGGAGACCGTATAAACTGAGGTCCCGTGTCGCAGTTGGTGCTGACACGAAAAAGATCCCTCACTGCTCAATGGTACTTAGTGCCGAGTCAAAATTTGTAGCTCTCCACCGGTAAGTGGTGGCTCTCCACATGAGTGAAAACTGATCGAGAGGGACGCTAAACAATGATTATACGATCAATCAATCAATCCATATGAGTGAAAAATTCTCCTCCAGAGGGATGTTAAACAACAAACAATCAATCAAAAGCCATTGAGCAGTGAGGAATCTTTTTTCGTGCCAACACCTTATACGACACGGGACCACGGTTTAGGATATACGGTCCCATCTGAAAGACCTGTCTCCACGCCGCGCAGTGGATAAGAACTCTCGACGTAAGGATCAACTCCTTACTCTGCCACTCTGGAGCAGACGCCCTTACCACCGCGCCACTACCTAAATGTTTAATTGAAGGCCGCGGCAAGAGACTTCGTCATTTTTTATGCTAAATTCTGCTTCATATGAATATTAACTGACCACAATTTGTACCAATGGGGAAAAAGACAGCTTGCTTGAAAACACTGAAAAACTACAAACATACAAGATATTGTTAATCAGAAATCAAGTTGTAATGTAATTTTTATTATTATAATACAAGTACCAGTGTACAAAATAAAAAAAACAGCTGTCTATGTTGTTAAAAATCCTGGACATTAAATAATCGTGGGGAAGAGTTGTTAAAGTATCTAAAAGTCGTACACTTTGATGTTATGATTTTTGTAAAAACGTTATGACTTTGCTTATTCAAATAAAAATACACTATAATTAAACATCAAGAGTAGGAAGAAGAAAAAAACACATTCTTCTTTCCTAACTATTGAATAATTAACTTATATTCGTTTGAACTTGGTGTCTACATACAAAAAGATGCTACGTTTTGTCTTGAAAACAATATGATTATTGAAAAAAAAATCAAAGTTGAAAAAAAGGCGAAATACAAGAAAATAATCGATCTAAAAATATTCTTACCAACTAAATAAAGGTATTTAACTTACTAGTCCACATTGATACAAATTAAATACCGGTATAACTTTATGTAAACATGAAGTAGCTTTATCAGTGAAATATAAATTTTACAATTATCTAACCAAATTTGCACAATTTTTCGCCGATTCATCAATTTAATTGTGAATTTCCGTACCAAATAAAATGGTAGGATACAAACAAGTTTTCCACTGGGATTAATACGAAAAAATCCCAGGAACTATAAATCTTAAGTGAAAAACCTTTTGAATGACCTAATTTTTTTTTCAGTGTTAGACTGAATATTTTCTTAGTCGTGATTTTCCTAGAATTCATACTAGTAAATCAATACAGACAATGATAAATCACCAATTTTCCTCCCCAAGAGTGAACAAATACATATGTTTTTCGAAAAGCGACGTATCCATATATAAAACGAAAACAATGATCTGAAATGAAAGATGAGGCGATAACAAATAGTACACGAAGTCCATTAAACATTACAAAAGAAGAAGCTTAGCAAACAGACCTCTAAAATATCAGAGGTGGATCGGATAGCATGAAGAAGTGAACATCCCCTGCCGACCGGTCACACACAAGGTGTGCTCCTTGTCATGTTCAGGGGAAAAAAGTAAAATCCATAGACAATGTAGTGTGTAAATCATTACCTTACAATCACTATGGGAAAAGTCAGTCAGCATTTGATTACTGATAGATTGCCTTTGCTGACAAGGTCATTGTATCGACCATAGAACTTACCAAATAATGACTTTGAAGGAGACTGCTTATATGCTTGCTTCAACAATTTGTTTGTCAATAACTTACTTAGTTTTAGAAATTGTTCATACGCAGAACATGCCTTTCCGTATCGAATAAACTGAGAGATATACATGTCTGTATGCAGGTGTCAAGGGTATATTGCTGCAAAAGTCAAAATGGTGAGTATTATGCACTAAAATTATTACATAGTATTTTAAACTGCTTTTTAAAAGTTAAAGTCATTTTAACTTTTGTTTATCATAAAGCTTTGTTGTTTGATAACCATTCGCGTCTTTTTCTAGTAAAATATCCAAATATGAAACAGATGTGTCAGACTCTTTGGTATCTTTTATTTCAAGCTCACTAGGATATATCGTATAGACATAAAAATGGAAATAACCATTGTTAGTTGACAATGCGTCGTCTTTATACCTAAATGTCTAGTTGAAGGCAACAGCAAGTGTTTTATTCTTTTCATATAAAAGATTCTGTAATACAAAAATAGGTCTGCTAATAACAGGGTGCAATAGGTACTTTTGGGAATTCCAATAGATTGTTGGAAGACCTGGTCTGCAAAAACCACATAGATATTGCAATAAGAAACTCGAGCATCTTTTAATATCAACTTCAGAGTCCATTTGCATAAAATCAGATTGTTTTTGAACAAAGTAATGTTACAAATGACCAAATACAAGGTAAGTAAATTAAATAGTTCCATTTTTTGAAAAAAGAAGCCGTCAATGACGTAAAAAAAATGGACTTAATTTATCAAGGAGAATAACTGTAAATAAAGTTGAAAAAGTCGTTTTTTTTTGTTCTTGATTTTTGTTGAAATTTTGCGATTTCAAAATTTCCTTCAAATCTTTTAGTATCCACATCTGAAAAACACCACGTCTATAATATATTGTCGCACAATGCTCTTGAAGCTTCTCCTTCACTACTGTCAATATCTTAGGGGAGGGTAAAGAAAAAGGCTTGGTAAAACATTTACTGGGACCCGCTATGTAGATTTGTATGAAGTTTTGAAATCCAATGTATAAATATATAAATATAGTATTTTAAAATCACTTTCGACGTCAGAATATTAACAGCATTCAAAACTGAAAATATCATAACTGATGTAAAATTTTAGTTCTTTTGGCTTACTTTCTTAAAAAATTGGAGAAAAAAAAGAATAATATTACAACATTGACAACAATTGACCCCTGTAAGAAAAATAACCTTTGCTTGATTCCTATATTTTTCTTGGGAGTTTACATTTTTTGGACTAAGTGCAATCCAACTGATATAAAATCCTTTAAATACACACCAAATCTTTGTGTACTTTAAAGGTCAAGGTCATATCAAGAGGTCAAAGGTCAAATATTGTGACGTCATCTACTGAATCTTTTATTTTTTTGCCATTTAAATTTTTTTAATCGCCAAAATATCAGAAACTACCGGTTCAATTTTCTTTATTTTTATACATTTTTTTCTGGGACCCATTTTAATCATTCTGTTAATTTTTTTTTTTTGCAAAAATTGAATTATACTTTTTTCTTTGGAAAACAGTGTAGGCGTGAATTTTCAATTTAAGTTTTTCATTATTAATTAACAAAAAGGTTATTTTAATCAAAATTATAACACAAATTTGCAATGATATTTTGTATATTACACAGATGTAAAGTATATATAAGAGAGATTTGTCCTAGAACAAAATATCAAAGAAAAAAAATGAGAAAAATTTTAAGTGTAAATTAGAAAAGCTTATGACAATTACAAAGCGTTAAGTTTTTCATTATTAATTAAAGAAAAGCTTGTATTTTGTATATTACACAGATGTAAAGTGATATTTAGGGAAAAAAAATGAGAATTTTAAGTGTAAATAAGAAAACTATTTATAGAAATGAAACCGTGATTTCAAAATGTTCCTGCTCATAAAATAAAGAAAATGCCGAATATTTGGTTTGGGTTCTTCCAAGAAATTTTCTTTTCAATTAGGGGGAAGTTTATTTTATCACGTGTTAGTCAGTAGCTTTTCCAATCATTATTCCACAATGAAATCCCAAAACGCTCACCTGATTTTCCAGATAACCCTTTGAGACAGTTTCACGACTTAATAAATTCTGAATTCTCACCAAGTAGACGGCTACTTAATTGACAGTAGCTCCCTTGACATATTTAGCTTTTACAAAATACTTGGCCGTTGATAAGGAAAACATATTTCTTCTAAGAAAAGCTCATAAATTTAATTCTACAGAAGAATTTTCAATCAAAACCTGCAAAATATGAAAATCATACAATTGTATGACAACATCCTTGAAAAAAATGTAAGTCTTGGTATTTTCAACACACAAATAACAAACCATTAAATAAGTCATAAAAATTTATTTCATATAATATATATCTACATTTCATTGCACATAAATCCCACTGAATTTAAACAGTGTCCATTTTCAGGTTTAGTCAATTCCCAAGTTTAATAATAACATGATTAAAATCTCTAAAAGGTAAAAAAAAAAGTTCAACACAAGAACAGTTTCAAAAATATTTTTTGCCAGAAAGCCGCTACATTTATCAATTTCACAACAAGCGATGTATTTCTCTTTTTAACATTAACATTGTATCTATCACTGGCCGAATAATTTGCCCTGTCGTATGCATAGTGTTGTATCATATATTCATATAAAGACAATAAATTGCATGTAGAGATTGTCTAATATCTTTTTCGCATCATTCCAAAAAAAAAAAATGATTCCATTCAACTTGTAAAATTAAAGGTCTACAATACATAAATTATACCAACAGAACCATTTATATTATCAATTTCTTTTAAAGATCAATTCAATATTATAAAGAATGATCATTTTATTAATGTATGGCACAAATTTCGTCCATGCTAAAAAACAACTCTGTGGTTCGTATAATTGATTTTAAAAAAAAAGTCCAAAACAATAAAGCAATGTACACTGAATGAAACAATAAAACAATATACATGCACTTTCGAGGATAAATAACGGCAATCCCCATATATCGCCTTAGATATAATTGTTTTCAAGAGAATATCAATCTACCGACAAAAATATTCAATGATTTCTCCACGTAAACAAAGGCATACAACCAAACACTAATTAAATCATAAACCTAGATGTCCACGGATAAAATCTATCCTCTTTGTTTATTCAGCGCCTGAAAATACAAATGCGATTTCCTTACGTAAAAATATAAAAATTACAGAAGTGCGTAATAAATTTTTTTTTTTAATTGTATATTTTTAATTGTATATTTTTATAAATTCGATCTCACCTCTTCTGTTGCTCGTGTCTAATTTGCTCAACTTGCTGATTTAGATTTTTGTGAAGCAATGTCAGGCTTTCCTATAAAAAGTGAAAATAAACATAATTCACAATGAACTATTCATAATTTTCCTTTTTTTAATCATTTTTCTTCTAAAGTATTTTGTGAAACATGAAATTTATGAAAATTTTAAATCATTTTAAAAATCGAACTGAATGTTTCAAAATGATTCAAGGTATACAGCAAAAATATATTATTCATCTGAAGAGATTGTGCGGCATCATAACAACCACTCAAGGAAAGATCCAGCCACATATGAACTTCTTTTCCAACAATTTTGAAGGAGATACACATAGCTTTCTCAGTTACTGTCAAAGACAATTTGATTTTTTGGCAGTTAAAAGGGAGATTTGACCAAGATATGACGAAAAATATCAAAAGATTTAGATGGCACGACAAAATATCAGAATGAAGGCTGCCGAGTGCAAAAAGGTTGAGCAGTGTTCGGAATATTTCATTTAGAAATGTACATAATTTACAATATGCAGCCCATCCAATGTTCAGTAGAAAGAGAGAGATATCGGGGGAAATCTATCCCCCGGATTATGATGGGAGGATAAAGCACAGGATAGAAGGTATCCGAGTGCATATAAGGGATGATCCAAGGGTATCCGAGTGCATACAGAGAAACATCTAAAGGTATACTTGTGCATGTTGCAGATGAGTTTTTGTACAGTTGTAGGGATCCTGTTTAATGAGTAATAAATGGCATCCTAGTGCAGACACAGTGTGTCAGTGCAGACAAGGTGTGATTCCATTTTATAGTTTTATCAAACCAATAAAACGAAAAAAATCCATGATAAAGAGTTATGAAAGGGAAAATGTTCAAGCTTTTTGAGATTATGGTAATTCACATTATGAAGGGATATTGGTGCATTTGTGTCTTCCAATGAATACACCAGTCAAAAGCATCAACTTTCTGCACAACATTGAGTTTAAAGCGTTTCCCAAGGGTATCATTAAACTTGTTGGGAAAGGTTTCATTTCTCCATATTCAAACCAGAATATAATCGCGTAAAGGATTGGCAAAGAGTCCATATACAGTTATGTATTCCTTACTAATTGTTACTTTGTTGCAAAAGACTCATTATAAAAAGAAAAAGCCTGCTTCAAGAAAAAAATCAACATGGAAGATGAAGATAACCAATAATGATCGATCTCACAAAAAGAAATCTATAAACAATTTCAATCTGTACAGATGGTAAATGCGTGTATCCCTGGATAGTCTAGAGGTGGGATCAAGTGCCAAGAAGGAGCAAGCATCCCAAAACAGATGTATGTGGCCTATGTTGGCCTGTCTCACATTCAAATTTTTATTTGAAGTCAGTGTATCAAAATTATTACATTTTCATCGACACAGAAACGTTTAATTGTAAAAAGTTTACACTTGCAAAAAAAAAAAAACATAAAAATTAAAAAGACAAAACAAAATTACTTGATAGTTTAACCTCGCAAACCAGCAGGTGTGGATGAAAGGGGATGGTTAAGACAAAGCTGTTTTGATAAGTCCCAATTCAGTAAACTGACAAACTTATTGTTATGGGAAATCTTATGCTTTCTTCACCTTCTTTGTAAAACTAAAAAATGAAATCAATTATTGGTCTGACTGTAAAACTTAAGAAAATACTTACGTTTTCCTCTCGAAGTTGCTTGAACTCCTCGGCAAGGCGCGTGCTACACATTTGATTGTGTTCATCCTGCTCAAATTCCTTAATCAAATCATTCCTAAAAATATATTCAGACTATGTACTGAGCAACGAGGTAGCAGAAGAAATGCAAGCAATCCACAAAAAAATATATACAAAATAGAAACATACAAATTAAAATAAAATACCAATTTATCAACTATATACATGTATTTTAAAATACTTGATTTTTTTTTTAGCAATAATGTTCAACAGTGTTCAACGTATATGCATGATTTTTCAGGAGATATTAAAAAACTCCTCATTTTTCCTCCAATTGTTCTTGTTTACTTTTTATAATATAATTTGCCGTCATTGAACTAGACTAGGGGAGGCCAATAACCTTGCTGTACTCTGAGGTTTTCTTGAATTAATCAAAGTATATCTGCATGAATTCCTGATATTAAAAATATTATTTTGATAAATGATTATAGAGTGTCACAGAAGTCCATAAAAAGTATAAGAAAGCGAGTCAATCAGAACTTTTAATTCGTTAGAAGTGTTCTTCATTTCTTAGTGCCGCCTTAGTGGTCTTAGATATCGTCTAATAAATCACGTATCTCCCCAACTATTGGATTGTACTCACACAAAAAGACATTTATTTCCTTTCTCCGTGAGAAATATGCCTAAAGCAGATAAAATTACACAGGGCACTTGCTTCGAAGCCAATTTAGGATAATTTGGAAAGACGCTCAAATTGCTCTCGCAGAATTCACCTCACAATCATCATTTGCTTGTACAACAATCATTTCTAAAAACGGTTACAACCAAAATCTGATCTTTGCTTCATCAAATTTTCTAAATATTTCTACGTCTACGTGGTATGAAACTTGCCTTCTATTTACAGAATACTTTGATTTTTTTCATTAGATCTGACATTAGATGTTAACTTATTTCAGGCAACAATTGTTTGTCTCTGGCACCAATCACAGAAATCGGTTTCCTGGTGCTATTATGGCGGGGAATGCAGAAATCAGTGCGATATCTTTTATCCCAAGAAAGAAAGCGAGACATAAATAGCCCTGTTTTTTAAAATAAAATCTACCCAATGGCTAATTTCAACATGTTAAAACAGTAAAGGTATTCCAATATAAACACATGGTTTGCATATCTTACAAAAATACAACATAAAAAAATAATTTGACTAGAATGCCAACTAAATCCCACTGAACGAATTCAAAATAGCAATGGTATTTCCATTTAAATATTCGTAGCCAATGACCTTCGGTTGAGAAAAAAATAGGATATAGCCAATGACCTTCGGTTGAGAAAAAAATAGGATATACATTAACAAATATTATAAAGACCAAGAGACGATCAAATTATTAAGAATCAAGATATTCTAGAATCTGCCTTTGACAAAGATAACTCGGTGATAAATAAAAAAAAAAACAACTGAAATATTTTTATTTTTGAAGTTGATTTTCGTGGATCCGGAGAGCTATTGGCAAAATTCCATTGTGGGAATTTTTGAAACTAGATACTGCTATCAAACAGAAAAGGAAGTTTATCACATGTTTCAAATGGGCCAACTAAATCGTATGACAGCCGAGATTACTTCAATTTTTCCATCGTCAGTTTCCTTATTTATTATACGGTAAAACATGTATTCCGATATCACCTACATGTATATACATTGTATGGTGATTACACCTACAAAATTATTTGATACTTAAAAAGCACTAGATAATCATTTTTTTAAGAGACAGGCTACTAACAGAAATGTTTAAGTTACAAGCACCTTAACAACTTTATTCGAAGTAGGATCCTAAAGTCATTGGTCGATACAGTATATAGTGACCTTCTTGGCAAAAATAGTCCATCAATGGGTCTTTTTTTGGGGGTGGCTTGCTAGATCTTTGGTTACTAGTATTATACTGAATTTGGCTATAGAATGTTTTGTTTATTTGAGGAATACGTAGGACTGACAGCAAGTGTGACAGGTCAACGGGGGATGCTTACTCTTCCTTGGCACCTGACCCATCTCTGGAGTGTCCAGGTGTTTGTGTTTTATGTACTTTTCACAGAAATGTGTTTTTTTTTTCATATATATTTTTTTTGGGATGATGTGTTTGTTAACTTCGACTTTTTCATATATTCACCTAAGGAATGGAGGCTTCAAAGCATGAAATATATGGAGATAACGAACAGTTAAGTTCAAAAGTCCATTAAACAATACAAATCATGAGCAGAGCAAAAACGGGGCTGTAAAACATCAATGGTGGGATCAGGTGCCCTGGAGGAGTCAGCATCCCCTGACGACCGGTCACATCCGCTGTGTGCTCCTTGTCATGATTGGAAAATATCGGGAAAAATCGTCGACAATTCAGTGTATAAATTATAACCTAACAATTAGTATGAAAAACGTCAGTCAGCATTGATAGGTTGTATTGGCTGACAATGTGTTTGTATCGACCATTGAACTTATACATGATGACTTTAAACGAGAATGCTGATATTCTTGTTGCATCAATTTGTTTGTCAATAACTTGCCTCATTTTAGAAATTGTTCATGCGTGGAGCATGCTCTTTTGCATTGAATCAACTGAGAGATATAAAACCCGTATGCAGGTGATAAAGGTATAATGTTGCAAAAGTAAGGGAAATTGGCAGATTAAAAGTTCCCACCAAAAAAGTTCAGTCAACAAACTTACTTTCTCTGAACCAATAAGGACAGTTCTGTCTGTACTTTAAGGTACTCCTCTGCTAACTGTAAAAAAAACATTAACATCTATGAGAAAAATAAAAATTGATTCTTAAAAATAAACTGCACTTTTACTTCATTTATTAAGTTGACAAAAACAAACATCTTCACTAATAAAGGCAATGTCGACCACAGTAATTTAACTAAGAATTTTCATGCAGTGTGAGCCTTTGTTTGAAATTCGTATTCATTTTATACACATTGTTTTTAAAGGTGGCGAACTTTAACCAACTAGTAAGTAATACTAGTTACTCGAACACTTTTGTCTGATAATGGGAAATATGAATGATTTTGATATATCAGGGAGTTAAATGGAAACAGAATGACCAATAGATTGAAAATGTGGCTAATAACTGATAAAAAAAAACTTCATTTCCATTCTATTACTCTTCAAATCTGTTGGTGACACAACGATTTGTGTTCCGCTGGGAAGGCTAATCTATAGAACATCGATTTTGGTCATTTCATGCTTTGTCCACTGTTTCGGATCTTTCCCAATCAATTATGAGGATTCCCAAAAGCTCAACACCACAATTATATCTTAATACCACTTCAACATAGAATTCTTCTGCTCAAGTGTTTACAATCATAATAAATATTTGCCGGTGTGTTTGGGATCACATGTTCATTATGAGTTGGTATACAGAGGCGAAGATGCCTTAAACCCTTTTTCTCGGTTTAAGGGGTGAACGTCAATACATCGGTCTAATTGCTACTTTTGGAGAATAATCAACCTTTACAAAGTTTGTCTGCGGGAAAAGATCGATCCTAACGGTGTTTTCGGATGAGAGGTGAATGATAATTTGAACACTTTTTTGGCTCTTGTAGACAAATACTTATACGATTTCCCCTCAAGACGCGTCATTAACAATTTTGTGGTGCTGATGACTTATGGGGCCCGATCTGTCTTTTAAGTATTCCCAATTTTTCAAAGATATATATTGGGTTTTTCAGGATGCAATTTTCTGTGCTTTTTACAAATTTATCTTTGTACTTAGTATTCAACGAATACTAGATTGATCTGAAATTCAATATGATTTGTAAATGTCTTTTTTTTTTAATTTCAGAAAGGTGTTGTGCGTATTCTTAGATAAATTTACGGTACTAGTATTTTCTGAAAATTTCAAAATCTGCGCTTTATGTAAAAAGGACAAACTCGTTTATAAAAAATTAGGTAAAGAATAAAAATAGCAGCGCGTGCGCTTGAACGGAAATCCAGTTACATAAAAAGTTTTTGATATCAGTAGAATTAAAAACAGGTTTCCTGTGACACAGAAGCGTGGTTGTTTATTCAGTTTTTACCTAATTTGTAAAAGTTATTGTCGGAAGGATGTCTAACATAATTTTTCAGAGTGAACTGATGATAAAATATCTACGCAGTAGTATTTAAACGTGTCTTTAAGCTACTGTAGGACATGCAGAGTCGAAATAAAAGATTTTCTTCATAAAGTCTTTTTTAACATACACTGTATATATCAAAAAAGGAAAAGTAGGAGAAAAAGTCCAGAGTAGGAGAAGAGGAAATACGGACCTCCAAAACATCAGACGTAGGATCAGGTGCCATGGAGGAGTGAGCATCCTCTACCAACCGGTCACATCCGCCGTGTGCTTCTTGTCATGATCAGGAAATAACGGGAAAATCCGTCGTCAATTAAATAACATGCAGGGTTAAAATAGAAAAAATTCAACATGCTTAATTAATTCTTGACAACGTTACATTAAAAAAGTCTCCAATTTACCGATTCGGGAATTTTAGACAATGTAATTCTGAAGTATTTTTCTAGCAACATTTTTGTTATGTTTGTTTGTTGAAATTGTTCTTAAACAGAATCTAAAGGTTGAAAAAAAAACATTAAGGCTGAAATATGATCACGCCAGGAATTTGAGGCACTTAAGGTTGACAGTGAAAAACCGATTTTTCAAAACATTTCCCATTCCTAGTTTCTACAAAATCCGAGAGTCTTGATAATTTTTCAAGAAAACATCATTCTATGACTGTCTAAAAACAGTCTAAAAGTTTATTATTGATTAGGGTTCTAAATCTAAATTGTTTTCTAGCAAGTATTTCAGCACTGAGCATCATAAATTTCGGAATGATCCATCATTCCATTATTCTTTCAATGATATTGATTTCGAGTTTAAGACTGGGGGACATTTAAAGACATCTGAGCTTCAGGCTTTTTGTAGCCACCTCCACTCAATCTGCCACAGGGGAAATCCTAACTGGATCCAAATTAAATTTATAACTTCTAAGACGAGTACTTCTGAGAATTGTTGACAGGAATTGAAATGTTAGATAAATGAAAGATTTAAAGAGAATTTTCATTGTCTTTAAGTTTGGAAATGAGATCTCTCTAGGGATCCCATCTAATTCTTTTCCTGATAATGGACATTAAAACAGTTGCTGATATTTTTTATATAACAATATCTAGCTTGTAAAGAATACGTGTATTTATGCTTAAAGTGCAGTGGGAACATCTTGATTCCCCAACAATAACTTTCTTCTGAACGTAATAATTTGAGATAAGAGTTTTCTGATCATGTGCTTTTCAATTCTGATGATCATTTCTTCCAAATATTAGTAGTTTGATTTCAGATCTGATGAAATACTGAGAAAACGAACAGTTATAAACCTCAAAAATCCACAGAAACAATACCAATAGGGGGCAAAGCAAACACAGACAGGGGATGCTTATTTCTCCATGGCACCTGATCCAACTTAATATTTTGGAGGTTCTTGTTTGCTACGCTCCTATTTTGTATTGTTTGATGGACTTTTGAGCTTGTATACTGTTCGTTATCTCAATAAATTACACTGAATGAGGACCTACAATTTGTATGAAAAAATGTCAGCATTTGGCTTAATGAAAGATTGTTTTTGTTGATAAGGTCATTAAATAGAATGTGACTTCAAATGAAACTCTTGACATACATGCTTATTGATAGCTTGCCTCATTTTAGAAATTGTTTAACGTAGAGCATGCTCTTGTTTATTGAATCAATTGGAAGACATAAATGCCATATGTAGGCAAGGGGGTATATTGCTATATAAATAAGAAAAAAAAATGCAAAAGTTTACCATTAGGTTTTGTTCATAAATTACTATTAATGCTTGATTTTCAAAAGATACATCGAAACATGTATAATTGTCAATCAGAAACTGAATTATCTTTTCTTATATTGACTTCAGTATATGTGTGTAAAATCAGACAGTATTTCAATAAAATAATGTTGTAAATGAAAAGGTAAGTAAATTTACGAGTTCCGTTTTTATTGAAAAAACAGCTGTCTATGATGTTTAAAAGCTTGGACTTTATCAGGAATTGTATAATGTGTTGAATGCCCTTTGCTTTGATGTTAGGAATTTGATAATAAAAATTCTTTATTTGGATTCTTATGATACAATGTATATACTGCACTCAATATTTTTATGCTTCTCTGGGAGTAGAAAGAACCCATATTTGAGTCCACTTTATCGTGGTTATATGTCCATTACGTGTCTATGATGCTGTCATTCAATAATATAAGTATGATAACAGAGACAGATTTTTCTTATTCTTCATATCTAAAACTGGCTGCAAGTGCCTGTAATTACTTCTATATCAGGAAATGGAGCAGCCAGCCCAAAATCTCCCAAACCTCTATCCCAGCCTGCCAGGTCATAAAATGTGTCTGTAATTGGCAAACTATCTTAAAACCCCATTTCATAGGGATTACTCCCAATGCAGAACATCAACAAGGGAATTTTGTATTTTGCATGACCTCACACAAGTTTCTGACCCATTGATACTTTATGAGTCTTTACAGGAATGCAGGGGAAGAGAAAGTACATTTCAATAAAATATGCCTGCATCTTTTGGTAATCAAATAATCATTTCTAAAAGAGAAATGACTCATTTAGTGTACCATTTTAATTTAACAAATGGCTGTTAGACATGTATACTGGTGTTGGTATAACAATTGTCTGAGCTGCATCCAATATAGCAGAGCACACTCTGTCCCTTCATAATAACTTTTGTTTGAATTTTTATAAGATGAATAAACATGATATGCATACATTTGTTCTAATGTACTTGTCTTTATGTGTTGGGAAGCACATTAGATACTGCATTTTAGGTACTGTGTATTTCACCCCATAATACAGCACAGCGCTTGCACAACCCACACTAACTCTTCTCCCTATTTTTTTGTAATAGATCAAGAAACGGAGGCCATAAACCTTCATTTGGTGGGTGGCTGGTCTCAATAGTGAGGTAAAAGTACAGGCCTGATCAGACTTGATAAAACAACACAACAAATCCATTTTTGTCTTCAGAATTAGGTAAGTGAGGTTCCCCTCTGGGGCGGCCTAATAACTATTGATCTATCCATGTGTCGACATAAAAAATATTACCCTTCTGTTTTTTTAAGTTCATCCATTCTAGGTCTCTTAGATGAAGAGAAATTGGAACGGAAATTTAAAATCTTAAATGATAAATTCATTTTTCTTTCCCTTTTTGTTGAGATAACAATTTTACATACTGTAAACCAACTATTATTCGCGTCATCTTTTATTCGTGATTCATCAGTTAGAAATCAATCTGCGACAATTAATTTTCATGAATGAGGAAACATTAGATACAAAAGCAAAGCAAAATAAATGTTCTCCGGTGATTAATATTCATGACTACTTAAAGAAGGTCACAAAACTCGTGAATATTTCTCGCTCACAAATAAAAGTGGCTTTACAGTATATTATCGGATATAATTGAAAATAAACTTACAAAATGATGACTTTAAACAAGACTGCTGATATTCTTGTTTCATTAACTTGCTTTGTCAATAACTTACCTTCTTTTAATAATTGTTCATGCATAGAGCATGCCCTTGCATATCAAATCAATTGAGAGATATAAACCCCGTATGCAGGTGATGAAGGTACATTGCTGCATAAGTAATGGAAGTTGACAATTGAAAAGTTACAGTCATCATGTTTGTCATAAAGCTTGGTTGTGTAAATTGTGTAAAATGAAGTAAATTCTTTGTAAATTGAGTGAAGCAAATATTATTAAGTAAATGATTAATTAATAAATCCACAATAATTAATCTACAATGATTAATTCTGTACAATATAGAAAATAATTATCAAATGTCTCTGCTACTAAAGTTCCAAGAATTCAGAAAATGATGGTGTTGTTTTTTTTTCCTTTTGTTAGATGCTTCTTTGAAAAATTATTGTAAAAAGAAAAATTATGAGTTTCTTTATTCTAAAACAGATTTTTTGTCAATTTCTGTTGAAAAAAAAAAAAAATAGAAGTTTTCTTTTCTGTTAGAAGTTTTCTTTTCTCTAATAGAACTTTTGTCATTTCTTGTAGAATCTTTGAGAATGTTTAAGTTCATTACCTTACAGTGTTGATCAAATATCTCCATTGACTCTACACTGGTAGGACATGGGGCAAGAGGCTGCAAAGATACAAAAAAAAAAATTAAAAGTTATAGGGTAAAAATGGTGAGTTTGTAATAAGACAAATCCAGAAGATTTATAAATCTAGACACAGACATAATTTTAGTATTGAAAAACTAGACTTCTTTTTAAAAATACATTTAGGAAAATACATTTTACAGTTACTAGGTAATTAATGTTGATTCAAGGGACAGTCACGGCATACTCCCCTTCCCCCCCCCCTTTAAAAAAGGCTTTTTTTTCTTCTTTTTTAGTCTGGAAAAGACAAGCTATTTGTTTTAAATGTATTCTAATATTGTACTTGTATTGAGAGTTATTTTTGTCAAATCTTATCTACAAACAATTTTGCCCCCTTTTGAATTCACCCAGACACAGATCTGTTTAAGGACCCTCTCTACACGTGTTCAAAATTTTTTTTTGACATTGAGAAAAATATTTTGTATAAAGGAGTTAATATTGAGCACATTTTTTTTATATTTTCACTGTATGGTGCATGGCATTTACCCCCGGGAGATATGTTCAAAGACAACACAGTATCAGTGAATAGAAATCACTGTTAAATTAAATTACTTCAATAGAGAAAATACATGTAAATAACACGTTCTGTTAATTTATCTTGGCCTTTTAAAATGTTAAGAATACTTGAATTCATTACAAATTGAGAAATATATTGAAAATTTCTATTTTTTAGAATTTATATCTAAAGGCAGATCACTAACTGCAGAAAAATACCTTAGAATCAGAACTCATTAGTGTACAGTGTAGAGAGGATTCTTAAGAAAAAATGCCTTTTCTTTGAATTTACCATTTTAAATACAGCCAACTGTTACAAGGGTAAAAGAGGCAGAAATAAAACAGCCTAGGCAAACTTTTTCCTGTATACAGTCATGTGTATTAAAAATCTCATGTAGTCCCCTTCTCAAATTTTTTTTGAAATACATATGAAATGCTATCAATGTCTTCAACAATAGTTTTCTTTCAAATTTTAAAAGTTTGAAATTAATGTACACCAATTTCCCAGAAAGTCCTAGGTACTGCAAATTCATAATTCTTGTTCCAAGTAAATGAATGTTAGAAGTGAATATATAGAGGAGATAACAATCAGTATTCAAGCTCAAAAGTCCATTAAACATTCCAAATTAGGAGCAGAGCAAACACAGAGCTCTAAAACATCAAAAGTGGGATCGGGTGCCATGGAGGAGTGAGCATCCCCTGCAGACCTGTCACGCCTGCAGTGTGCTCCTTGTCATGATCAGGCAATAAGGGGGAAATCTGTAGACAATTCAGTGTATATATAATGGACTAACAATGTAGTATGAATAACTACGATTGAAGTCAGCATTTGACTCAATGATAGATTGTATTTGTTGATAAGGTCATTTTATCAACCATAAGAACTTCAAAAATCATGACTCAAAACAAGACTGCTGATATTCTTGTTTCATCAACTTGATTGTCAGTATATTACCTTGTTTTAAATATTGTTCATATGTAGAACATGTTCTAGCATAACTGAGAAGTATAAACCCTATGTGCAGGTGATGAAGGTACTGTAGACGTACTTTTTTCCAAGGGGTCATAATTCCCCGGAATCTCAATTTCTGTTTAATCCTCGAGTAGAAAATTACGTGGATTTCTTAGACTTTCACTATATGCCTTACATATATATTTAGTACGCTTAGACAAATTTCAGCGGAAAATTTGTGACCGCGTACATAGCTAAATTAATACCACGCGGAAAAACGTACTTCTACAGTATATTGGTACAAAGTAAGGGGAGTTGAAGGTTGAAAAGTTAAAGTCATCAATATATATTATAGTTCTAAATACTGTATGTGTACTTAAACCAGAAGTCTCTGTCAAGACTGTAGCTCTACTGGTTTGTACTTATAACAAAGGATGAGAAAAAAAGCCATTGCCATCAGACCAAAACTGTAGAAGCAGTAGCGTTTTAAAGGAATTTCACAGAAAATTCTATTTTTAGTAACCATGGCAACACCGTTCATCGAAATCAAAAACCGATGCACTATTTTATGTATCTTAGTGTAGTCTACTTGTGTGCCAAGTTATATTAAAATCAGACCAAAACTGTAGGAGGAGTAGCGTTTTAAAAAATTTATAAATACCGCTAAAAAATAATTTAAAATACAAAATACAACGCGGAAGTGTGTAGTGCTAATTCATGGATATGCCAATAACTGAATGCCCTGTGATTTCCCTAAATTTTGAATACACCAATTTATGTATACATACAGTAGGTTTTAGTTTGTACTATTTATTCAAAAGGAAGCTTTACACCTAAAGTCCCTGAACTATATACTACTGGATTTAATCATTCATGTTAACCTTAGACTGTTATTTTAACAGGGACATACATAATAATACTGTATACAGGGTTATTTTCGCCCTTTTGCACTTGTGAACAAGTTTGCCCCGTTTTAAATTCGCCCTGTCATAGTTCTGTTTAAAAAATTATGTCGTGTAATTTGCATTCGCTCCGTTTTGAATTCGCCCAATCAAGAAGAGGGTGAAAAGGGCGAAAATAAAACCGGGGTGAAAATTTCCCTGTATACAGTATTATTATGTATGTCCCTGTTAAAATAACAGTCTAAGGTTAACATGAATGATTAAATGTTCTTTTTTGGTAGGAGAGAGACTTGTCTATATTACGGGCTGTAGAAAGTTGAAAAGCTTGACTTAGATTTCTTGGAATTTGTCTATAAATACATGTAGATGATATGGAGAAGTGCAGTTACCAGCTACTAACATCATCTACTGCAATTTGTTTGCACGGCAGTTTGTCAAGTATCCTGCTTATACCTAGTTACCTGTTATCATATACATGTTTTTTTTTTTATTTTCAACTAATCAACATCCAGGAAGAGGGCCAATGAATGAAAATGTTAGGAATGAATGATGGATAGCTCAGAATCTTATATTATGTCAAAAGTAGTTCATACTCTTTTAAATGTAAATATTGCAAGCTTTAACAAGTAGGGGGCATAATTCACAATTGTGAACACACAAAATGGCAGAGAAAAACTCCCTACCATGTGTTGTTTAATTTTATCCTATTCTAATTTCAGTGTAAAAACATTTACAAGAGTATTGCTATGGTTACCTGTAACTGGTGGTCTAACGACTGGAGAACCAGGCTCATCGCAAATGCATCTGTATTGGACAAACCAGTTCCTGTCAATTGTGAATAAACTTATCAGGTCAGTTCTCCTCTCTCTCTCTCTCTCTCTCTCTCTCTCTCTCATGTATAAGACCTACACAAGTACTGGCAACAAGTTTATGAAATGTCAAATGGAATATGATATCAATCACATGACAAGAAAGTTAATGTAAGGATGCTTTTGTGTTATAATTCTACAATTTACTACCAAAGTCATTCTCAAACTCTAAATTGACATGCTTATTCAAATAAGCAACATAAAGAAATAAGAAGAAGCCATACTATTTCATTATAAATCAGAAACAAGATGTTGCAATCAGAATCTGAAAGCCATCCCATAGGAAGTATCCAGGAGAAGATATTTTTAAATAACATTGTGAGCTGTGATTTTCTTTATTTTAATGGAAAATATTTAAACAATTGATAAGAACAATATCAAGATGTCACAAAACGAACCTGTGGTCTGTTGGGGGTCGCTGGCTGTGGAGTTTGCTGGTTGCTGGCCATTGCTGGGTAGGACTGGATGAATTCCCATCTCTGGGGTCCACGACTGGTGTCTGGGGCCCACATTGGCTATCCGCTCCGACTCGGGAGGCGTGTGAGAGATGGAGCGCTGGGGGATGGTGTTTTCGTGGTTGGGGGAGTGTAGTGTTCCGGGGAAAGTGTTGACGTGCGGAATGTTGTTGTTAGGGGGACTGACAAAGGGTTGATGGGAAGGGTTAACATTGACAAACACGGGGGAGCTGGACATTCCCAGTCTGATCTGGGTCACCTCGTCTGATCCGCCACGTCGGTGAGTTCGCCCTGTCAATGGGAGGGACGCAAATATTGGCATTGTGGTCTGGGTCAAGCAAGTGTTTCAAGAGTTTTAATCCTTTTGAATATGGTTTATGTATTATATTTTGGGGACTCAGGACATTTTATTTCCATTGATTAAAATTTATCAAAATATTTTTTACTGCTACTGATAGAAGATTATCAAAAGATGTTAATAAAACTAAATTAATAATTACTAAATTTTTTAAGTTTATCTATTTCAAAAGGATTAATACCTCAAACAAATTGAATACTAAGCTAAACTAATACATATAGCATTATTAACCAAAGAAAATTAACTCAACTAAAATTTGCAGATCAGAAATAATATAAAAACATGCATCATGCAGATTAATTCTCAATTCCTTATTGCACATGGTTTTCAGGCAATAAGGTAATATCTTTCTAAGAAAAAAAATTCACAGTATTCCATTTAAAACAGGAGTGAGATATCTAAATACTTTACATTTTTATGACAATCAAATAAAAGAATTAATTCAATTTTCACTGAAAAGTCTTCAAGACTTCTTTTCTTTTCCATGTTTACTCTCTTGGTATTTCTAATTCACATTAAATAACGTAACAAAATTTCAATTTCTGAGAGAGAAAAAAATTATGGACTTTCTTACTAAACTTAACAATCAAAAACCTTACTAGTCAGTATCCACAAAACATCTCTTAACAAATAATACAGATGAAGATTATATCTAAATTTTTAACAAATTATACAGATGAAGATTATATCTAAATTTTTTAACCAAAAGATTTCATATATGTGATTCATGCAGTGAAGAAAACAAGTGCATACATTTTACATTTCATTGTATTAAAACAGACTGTTACAATGTGCTTTAACATATAATTATGCAAAATATTCCCTCCACCAATTTCATGCTATTGAATAATGAGATTGAGATTTATAAATTTTGAAGTTTTTTTTTTTTTCGATTTACATTTAGAATCACTTTAAATGATCTTAATCTGAAAAATACTTTGTTAGATTTAACAAATGTATTTTAGGAAATGTAATGTAAATGTCTAGGTATTTTTACTTTCTAAGTTCCAAATGTATTTAAAAACAAAGTTTCTTCACCTAAACAGAAGCATTTGGAAATGGACAAAATAGTCTCACCTGCGATTGGCACATTATGCAATGGGTTCCCACCAGAAAACAAAATGTATGTACCATGTGATCCCGTTCTACGATGTCCTAACAGAACAATAACAACGTCAACACAGGGGACACAACTCTTAACAAAGGGCACACAACTCTTATACTTATCATGTCTACACTCTTCATAGAAATATTTTATATTGGGAAATTGATTTTCGAAAACCCATTACAAATTGAAACCATACTGGATTATTTAACTATTGAAGGTTTCTTTTTTTCATTTTTTTTTTCAAATCAATTTTTTTAATATTTGAAGTAAAATTATTGTAGAAATACATTTCTAAAAACACCTTAATTTACAATATAATTTTTTTATCTATGTACAAGTCTGTTTTCGTCTATTCATAACTAGATCTGTATTAAGCATTGATTCTTAAATGCAAGGAAATCTCATGCTTTTGGAACATTACTGTTTCACATGCAATATTTTTTTAATCTGTTTTCTTAAACAAAAAAGTTAGTCTTCTCAAAATATAAATCAAATTGAATAAACAAAAATGGTAATATAAAATAAAAAATTCGTGTCATGAAACAAATACAGTCAAAATGCATCAATGCAGCACAAAATATAAAATAACATTTTCCTGCTTTCCTTAATTCCTGATACATGTAACAAGAAATGAAAGCCATCTCCTCTGACTATTTATCAAGTGGTCAACATAAAAGACTACGCTGTCCTGAAATATTTGATTTAAATTTGGAGATTGTCAATCTTTCAATTAATTTTTTTTTTATTTTGGTTAATGATCAGCTCGTTTATTACAAATTTTTTGCCAAGATCTTTTTTCCATTCAATGATTGTACAATCAGTTAACTTTGCAAAGACAGAACATCTCTTGACAAAAAGGATGAACTTAATATCATTTTCTCTATACTTAATTTCGCTTTTTATATTATTATTTTGATTGTTGTGTACAATAAAATGAACCTTTTGGTTAATTATTTGATACAGGTTTATATATTTTACTGCAAAGAATATATGTATGTAATGTTAAGCTATTACAGTGTACAAAATGTAGAAAAACTGCCATTAGTTTGGTACACAAAGCATTATAATACAAGAATAAATGTCTGATTATGATTTGATGCTTTTATAATGAATCTGTGATTTGATGATACATTTTTAGAGCACGCTGTACATGACTTACCTTTGTGAGAGCCTGTACTGCTGCCACTTCCATTACTGCCTTGTGTCAGGATATCCCCCTCACTGAGGCGGGTCAGATCTGCCGAGTACCGTTTGTACTGCTCTGGGGTGCCAGCTCTCCCCTCTGCTAAACTCTCTCGACTGGCTGCTAGTGAGGCCGGAGCACTCATTTGTCCCCGTCCAACTTCATTCTGGTACTGTTAATGTCAAATGTCACAAGCATGCTCAGTTAAGGAATGACTGGTGTTTTTGTTTTATGATGTGTTCAGTCCGTTTGTTTACAAGTTAATTTACATAGACCCCATAGAAACATTTATGCAGAAGAAATTTGATTAACTAAATCCTATGACAATGATAAACAATATACTGAAAGAAAACTGTTCTGAAGTTGTTTTTTTTTATTTGAAAAAAAAAATGAGTTAATTTTTGTGAAAAAGTTTTTATCTGAATATGACATAAATAAACATATTGTTGTAAATTCCTAACTATACGCGTAGAATTAATTATCCCATAACTTCGCAAGAAGCACCACCAGTGAAACAAAAACATAGGTAATCAGAGATTACAGAGCTCACCTCAACGAATGTTGTCTTTAAGTAAGGCAAAGTCACACAATTAACCAACAAAAAGTGTACATTCCAAAAATGAAAATATTCATGCAATTTTGATCTGATACTTTGAAATAGACCTATATAAAATATTCAAACTAGTTCTTCTTCATGAAAATGTAAATAAAATCCAGCATCTGAAGCAAATTTGAGAGTTTTCATCCCTTGATGCATCATTTGTGCAAGTTTGGTTTATACAATGTTATATAAGCCTTATAGCTTTTTGGTAATAGACCTGCACCCATAACTTTTACCTGGTCCATTATCTGAAAAATGTATGTCGAATTCAGCATCTGAAGCAAGTCCATTAGTGTGCATCCTAAGATGTATCATCCATGGAAGTTTGGTCATTAAAGAACTCATAGTTACTTGGAAATGAATCATGCACCAAAAACTTTAACCTGTTCACTCAACCGGAAAATGTACGTCAGATTCAGCATCTGAAGCAAGCCTGGTAGTATGCATCCTTAGATGTATCATCCATGCAAGTTAAATCATCATAGGGCTCATAGTATATTAAAATTGAGACCTGCACCAAAAACTTTAACCTGTTCACTCAATCGGAAAATGTAGGTCAGATTCAGCATCCGAAGCAAGCCTGGTAGTATGCATCCTTAGATGTATCATCCATGCAAGTTTGGTCAACATAGGGCTTATAGTTACTTGGAAATGAAATCTGCACCAAAAACTTTAACCTGTTCACTCAACCGGAAAATGTAGTTCAGATTCAGCATCCGAGGCAAGCCTGGTAGTATGCATCCTTAGATGTATCATCCACACAAGTTTGGTCATTATAGTGCTCATAGTTACTTGGAAATGAGACCTGCACCAAAAACATTAACCTGTTCACTCAACCAGAAAATGTAGGTCAGATTCAGCATCCGAAGCAACCCTGAAATGTGCATCCTTAGATGCACCATCCATGCAAGTTTGGTCAACATAGGGCTTATAGTTACTTGGAAATGAGACCTGCACCAAAAACTTTAACCTGTTCACTCAACCGGAAAATGTAGGTCAGATTCAGCATCCGAAGCAAGCCTGGTAGTGTGTATCCTTAGATGTATCATCCATGCAAGTTTGGTCAACATAGGGCTTATAGTTACTTGGAAATGAGACCTACACCAAAAAGTGCACCAAAAATGTTAACCTGCTCCAAAAACATAAACCTGGTCATTCCTCTGCTGAAATTGCAGCATCTGAAACTTTGACTGGTACAATGAAACACACTAGAAGCATCTTCCATGCATGTCTAATCAATATAGGACACAGAAGTACTTAAAAAGAAAACTGCTCCAAAAAACTTAACCTGGGACGCCGACGCCGACACCGACGCCGACGCCGACGCCGACACCGAGGGTATTACATAAGCTCCCCCAACTTCGTTGAGGTGAGCTAATTACTCACTTTTATTTTTGATAGTGCTAAAAACAATGTAAAATCCCTTGATGAACCCTTCATTCGCAAATTATTATTCTCGCAATTTGACGTTGAAGAGGCTTTTCGTGATAAAAAGTACTCGCGAAAAATAAGGAATACAGTAATTTATTAGAAATATTCCTTACCTCCACCACTGGTGGTGGGTTTCCTCGGGGTGGTATGGGAGGAGGGTCACCCTGTATGTAGGGGTCAGGGTTGATAAGGGTATCAGAGCGAGACTCAGACGCTGGTGCCGAGGTGTTGTATGTAGAGGGGGGTGAACTGAAGGCCATACTGTTAGGACGAGAGCTGAATGCTGAAAATAAACAACCATTGTGATAAATGCTGAAAAAAAGAAGGAGTCAACCACTCATAGTTAAGCCTTTATACTGCTTTAAGGATTGCATCAAAATATTTAATTGATGTCTCTTCAGTAATTCCTACATCGCACATTAAGTGAAAGGGGAGTGTCTATTTGTACTTGTTTTCATTTATATGATCAATGAATCGAAAAAAGTGCAATACATTAATACTGCAATTTCGTACTATTTATGAAGTAAAAATACAATTGTGGTCCTGAAAAAATATATTTCATTTCTTTGAATATCTGTGAATTACAGGAAGGTTAAATGCATGTGTCTTCTCTGTTGATTGTCGACAAATATGTGAGACTTACTCCAGTCCGGTGAATCTGAGGACTCACTCATCGGGGGGTACTCTAGGGGTTTGTCTGCACCGCTGAAAAACTGAACAACACAAATAAATGAGTGTGTAGGAACAAATCAACCAGGGACCTGCTCTAAAAACCTGTCCACCTAGCCAAAATATGTACACAGTAACACTACTAAAACTACTCATCAAGTTTGGTTTGGAACTGATGATTATACATGTAGTTACAGTGAACGCATTTTTTATTAACAAGTACATTCTAAATTGAAAATAACCAAACAGATAAAAATACTAAAATGTACAAAGAATGACTTATACACCTGGAACATGTAGGTCATGATTCTACAGACTTCTGCCATTGATGGCCTTTCTGCTGGGTTACCATGCCAACATCTGGTCATTAATATCTCCAGTGGCTTAGGAAGATTCCGGATGAGAGGTGGTCTGGTGCCTTAAATAAAATCATCAGTGTAAGTCAAGGTCATCTTCATAATGTTATCCAAAGGGGCAAAATCATTATACTCATTTGGTAGTCTATGACATGTGACATAATTCAAAAGATGTTATAATGTGGATGAATTCTTTACCATTGTGAACAGCCCACATGATTCTGAAGGCGGGGCCACCGATTTCATCAAAAGGCTTCCTCCTCGTGATGACCTCCCAGAAAATGATTCCCCAACTGAAGACGTCACACTTTTCACTGTAGTTACTACCTGTAAATGACAGAAAAAAATCAGTTTACAGTATAATGTGCGTCTACATGTAGCTGTAAATACTACCTATAAACAATACAATAACCAAATCACATTACAATATGTCAAATATCTACATTTAGCTAAAAATTACTGCCTGTAAACAATACAACAAATCAGTTTAAAGTTCCCTTCACTGAAAATGGATGCTAATCCAAATAGCGCCAATCTCAGAGTATTGAAATGATACAACAATGAATGCTGCTTCACACAAACCTTCAAAGACCTCGGGAGCCATCCAGGCTGCACTCCCTTTGTTGTTCGTCATGTGTGTCTGTATATCACAGGCCGTGCCAAAGTCACAGATCTTCAGAACGGTCCCACCCATAATCAACAGCAGGCTAGAACACATGGAGGGTATAATATGTGAGAACTTTCACAATACTTTAACAAATGTAAGAAAATGTTTAAACACATATAAAATTGGTCTCATGAATAGTACAAAATATGAATAGGTGTCTCCATGGATTTTCTTCCCATTCATTATCTGTTACTTACTTTGGTGGTTTTAAGTCTCTGTGAATCAGAGCTTTGGGCTTCATTCCGTGTAGGTACTCCACCCCTTTAGCACACTGCAGGGCCCAGCTCATAGCGTGGGCGGCAGTGTAGGTTGGCTGGGGACCCGCCCCGTGCAACACTACAGACATACAAGCATACATGTCAGTAGAAGTTTGTTATTTTTTTACTACAGTAACTTTATTTTTCTATCTTTCTTTATATCAAAATATGGGTAAATCATGTTATAATGAAATCAGATTCTTTCAATATATTGTATATATTGGTTTCTAAATTCAAGGAAGTATCATGCATATAGTAAGGTAACGTTCTTACCATTGTACAAAGATCCACCCTCAGCATATTCCATCACAAGGCACACCTAAAGTTACACAGAAAATTTACCTTAAATGCTAAAAATCAATTTTGCAAACAGGAAAAATATGGGGGGAAAAAAGCACATACCATGTAAATTGGATATAATCAGTTGTTTTAATAAATGGTGAGACATTCAGATAAGCTTAAGTTTTAGTGAGATAGTCCCACAAGAAAAGATATTGATTGTCAAAATTATAAAATGTCTTTCTTCCATTACTGTTATTTGGTGAGGTGATCAACATGACCAATGTACATCTGTCTGGGCCAAACTTAGAAATAAAAAAAAATCCTTGTTTGCAATTGCTGACCCATATTTTTTTGAGTGGGTCAGTTTTTAAGGGGTGGGGGAAGAAATCAGAAGGATTTTCACAGGGTTACTATATAATGTATAGACATGCTAAATAAGCCCCTCTTTATTAAGCCACTAATTTGATAAAAACAAAATAGAAGTAAGGAAAAGAAACAGTAAGAAAAATCTTGGATCAAAAGTTTGGATCAGCAACATTTATAGTTGGTTAGTAGGCAACTTCAACATGTTCAAAGAATTCAATTTATTTTACGCCTGGCCAGGTATATCCCAAAGGTGCATTATTTCTGGGGTAGACAAATACAATTTTGCAGTACTTGCCCTCAGACAGGTTACTTTCGTAAAACTACTTGTCCTACCAAAAAATATGCTTGTCCCACCTTTTTCTAAAATTACAAAGAATTGAAGTATTGATATGAAATTATTTCTTGAGGGACACACCTAAACAATACACAAAGACAATCATAGATTTAAATTTAGTAAAATCACGAAAATCTTCAAAATTCTAAAACAAAATACACTGATCAATCTCATAAAACATACAAAAAATAAGAGTCTGTGAACAGAACACGACTGCATATTGATTAAGAGATTGACATCATGGCTGTGTAATTGCCAGGGAACAGCATCAACAACAAATTTAATACCACTAGAATCTGCATTCACAGTATTAATTTAATATTTTGATGATAAATGTCTAAATTTCCATATGTTTTGCATGTTTTGGCGACATCGGTAACTCCATGTTTTACGACAGCTGCATATTTTCACAACACGTTAATGGGTAAAATCTAGAGGAGTTCTGACTATTCAATGTATGTATATACAGCTGATGCAGTGGTCAACGGCAGTGAAAACAAGTGTTTTGCTGTGATTCAGGATAGTTTTAAATCAATAACACAAAAGATATTGAGTATATTGTGCATGATTTTTTTTTTTTTGTTAATTGGAAAAGAACTTGTCCGCCGGCAGGCACCTATTATCAAATTACTTGCCCAACAACCAAAACTGGTTGTCCCGGGTGTCAAGCAGTGCTATTTGTCTAGCCCTGATTATTTAACTGCTACATGTAAAAGAGAAAATGCATAACTGGACCGCACAATGAACCTGGGTCCCCTTTACCACTAGCAGGTGCTCTATCAACCAAGACGATAGTCACTGCCCAAACCATTACATATTCAATCTCACCCCAACCCCTGTCCCCAATAAAATACTTATGTTAGTAAAATGATGATGCATTTCATATCTTACTGTTGGAGGTTCTTTACATGCTCCATATAGCTTCACAATATTGGGGTGGGCAATTTAGCTATTTCAAGGTAAGTTTTTAAAAGTTTTCTCTCTGATTTAGTTTAAAAAGAGACAAAAAGTCCCTCAATTAAATGACTATTGAAACACCAAAAGCACCCTTTCCAACAACCTAAAAACAATGTAAAGACACAAATAGCATTAGTTTACGAGTGTTAGTCCTTATGTTTACAAAAGCAAAATATGACAGAGAAAACATGTAATTCCATTGTTTGGTTAGCTGCATACCTGCAGTGAGGCATTGAAGTATGATGAAATTCACATTGTGCTGAATAAACTGACCTATGTGTCGTGTTAACCATGAACTGGACTTCTTTGTCATTCGCTCACCATACCTTGACAAACTCATTACATAGCCCCAAAACTTTGTTTTTATTGCAAATCTCGTTTACTATCCTTATCAATGTTACTTTATATTAAGTATTTTTTCAAAATTTTATCCATATTAACTTTTTTCAATGATAGCAATAAATTTATAAAATCAAAATAATTCTTTTGGAAATTTTAATTTTACTAATTAATTTTCTTCATAACCAATATTATTATTTCCGGATAGAACGGATATATTTAAAACATATTTTTTCGGATTATTGAGTACTTTCACTTCATGTTTATGTATAAAATAATTATATACAAAAATATATTCTTCGGTAATTGTTTTTTTTAAATCATTCAAATGGGGTCGTTCAAATGATTAAATATGATATAGCAACATTTATCCGAATAAAACTATTTACTGTTGTTACATTGACTTCATTTGTAAAGGAAAATGTCGACCTTATTCAAGAAACCTCGGCGAAATTTTCGCAAGAAAGTAATAACCATAGATAGCGATTCTGACAATGATAGTAAGGACGAGAATAATTTTGACAATGAGCAGAGTGATATCAAATCCCAAACCTTCAGTAGTGACCAAATCAAAAAGTCGAAGAAAAAGAAGAAAGAGGAATCCCAAGGAATGCATCGTAGTAGCAGCGTTCTCAGCTTCAAAGAAGAAAACGAAGAAGGTGTGAATTTTTCCAACAGAAAGATTATGTTTTTATCACATATTTATATTTATATTTTGCGAAATTTTAGAAAACTTTTTTTAAATGCAATATATTTTGATATATGACAAGAAATTCGGTGGAAATTTTAATTTTACTAACTAATTTTCTTTATAACCAATATGGAAATTAAATGGACCAAATGGATATATTTATATTTTTTCGGATTATCAAGTTTTTACTTCATTTAAAATATAGAAAATAATGAAATTATAATACAAAAATAGAATATTTTAATATCATTATTTTCTCCAGTTGTATTTTTAAAAATGCGATATAATACATATATAATAACTATTTAACATACTTGAATACAAAAGGAAGTATTTGATAGTTTCTATGGCCATAGGCGAAATTTTCGCAAGAAAGTAATAACCCCCATAGCGATTCCCACCCCACCCCTACCCTAAATAATTTTGACATATAGAGTGATATCAAATCAAAACTTCATGTGACAAAATACAAAAATTAGAGATTAATAATTTAAAAAATCCATTTGTAACTGTAAGTTCATTTATTTTCATCATTTTAAAAAGTATTAAAAAACGATAATACATGTAATATTCCAACAGAAAGATTATGTGTTTACACATATTTTTCCATTTGTTTCCATTGACAATTAAATGCAATATATGGCAAGAAATTAGTACTAATTTTCACCCATGGTCAATTTTTATTAATTTGTTACAGGTGAGGTTTTTAAGGTGAAGAAGTCAAGTCACAGTAAGCGGATTGCCAAACAGCTAAAGTTGGCCTCTAAGTTAGCAAGAGAGGAAGAGGAGAAAAGTAAGAAGAGGGAGGATAATTCCCCTTTGAGGGCCTCCCCGGTCCACAGGGAGGACTCGTACGAGGACAAAGATGAAGAAATAAGGGTAATATAATCATGTCATCTAACTCTTTATTATCGCAAAGCTGTATTGGAGTTTGTGGAGTATGTTTTTCATGTCATTTAATACTTCAGCTGTGGAATATATATTATTTCTTATCTTGCATGTAACACAAGTTTTGATTGGTTGGATAACTAATAGTATTTTGTTGTGTTGACAGAGGTTACGTGCGGAGTTTCAGACGTTGAATGGCGAGGACCTTGAAGAGAATGAGAGTGAGGAAGAGACGGAGGGCGGCAGTCAGCTGAAGAAGATGATGAAGAGTGAGTTATTACAACCAATTTTGTATAACAGGGCACCTTATGGAAGCATATCAGAATGATGAGTTATTACATCCAGTATTGTATAACAAGGCACCATTAGGAAATGTATCAGAATAATGAGTTAATGCGGCCAGTATTATAAACTGGGCATGTGAAAAAAACATATCAGAATGTGTTGTTTAATTTTTGTTCTTGTTCACTTGCAGAGGGGGAAATCCCAGATGCTAATATGATTCACATGATCAGAAAGCGACGACAACAGGCAAGGGATTTTGGAGACTACATTCCACTGGATGATACTGAGAGAGCGGAAAACAACAAGTCACGACTCGTCAGGTTTGTAAAAAGATGGAAAAAATGATTATTTTATAATGTGATGTACACATTCTCTAAGAAATGATAGGTAATATGATAGTTTATAACAAATATTGATTTTGTTTATCCTCAAGGAAAGAAATCAATTAATTTCCACACTTTGCAAAAGTTGTGTTTTTCAATGTTAAGAAATTGTTACATTTCACCTTTAAATTACTTTAACATGTTCAATGGTACACATGTAATTGTGTTAATCGTTCAAGATAAGAAAATTTTAGCAAGGAGGTAATATTTATAACACATCTATTGAATAACGAGAATTGATTTACAAACCAGAAAGCTACAAAGGCTACTTTTATTGTTAGGGATGATGACAAAGATAAGTCTGATGATGGGACATAACTTTTGGAAAGTGTGGATTCAACTATTAAAAAGAGATGATAAAAAACAACTGTAAATAAAATATCGGTCACCTTCTTTGATTTCTCATACATGTAAGGTTAGTAAGTAATCTTATTTTTATAATCAGGGATGATGACAACGATAAGTCTGATGATGAAGATGATGAGAGGATGGACTTCTCTGTGAACACACAGGCACGAGACAGGATTAAAATTCAAAATGACTTCTTGGCAAGGCATGGTAAAATTGTATATTTTTTAAAATTAGAGATTTTGGACCTTTTTTATGTGATGGCTGTGTGGTTACATATTTTCATGTAAGTTGCTGAACATACTGACTTGATTTTGACAGGATCGGACAACGAGGACAGTGACCAGGAGCGAGAGTGGGAGGAGCAACAGATTAAAAAGGGGGTCAGCCTAGGGTCAGAGGTGAAGGTCAAATTAAACACACTTTAAAGAAAACTCAGAATAAAGTGGAATTTTGTACTGGTCTCTTTCAAAATTTGTTAATCATTTTTTCAGCAATTATTCCACTGTAAATTTTGTATTTTAGCAACAGACAGATGGAAGTGTTCCAGCAACACCTGTACACAATGACCAGTACAATGGATATCAAGAAACAATACTGGAGAAGAAACCATTCACACCATTCCAGAGTTTGACCAAGTCCGCGGGTTCTACTATAATTAGTATGGAGGTCATCAGAAAACGTCTACAAGACAGGTAAGTTTTATACTTGGTCTTTACCTTAGTCAGGTCAGTGTATACCTAAATTTGGTCATTTATACCTGAGTCATGGCAGTGCTTATTAAAGCTGGTATGTAAACAATTGTATATTTTGCATGACCTTTTCAAACAATTCTTTTTATAGGTTGAACTCTATGGATGAAGTTCATCGTAGCCACACTCGAGAAAGAGACTCGTTAGTTAGTGATATTAGCGATACAGAGAAAAGCATTGACACCTGTCAAGAACAAGTTGCAGGCTTGGAAGAGCGTTACCGCTTTTTCCAAGAAATGAGGGGGTATGTCAGAGACTTGGTTGATTGTCTCAGTCAGAAGGTGGGTGTTTACATTGTTTGGGAGGAAATGTTTTGTGATAGGAGTGGGGTGGGAATCTGTACTTTCAGCATTCTATATAAATAAGATATGTTTCATTATATTTGTTTATCAAAACCACTTGAACAGCTGTATCCAATTTATTTGTACATGTGTGCAGCATTTCTGAACAAAAATTTAAAGAAATAGTTAATTTTGAATTGAAAGGAAAATATTTTTGTTCACTCAAGATTAAATGATATAACTTTAGAAACATTGAAGTAAACATAAAAGAAATTATGAAATGATCATCAATTTAAAAAGTGTTGGAATTTATCAAGTATTATATATTTTCTGGAGTTAGTTATAAAAAAAAAAACAATTACGGGAATATTAGAATAAATTACTGAATGAATTGCACCTAGAGAAAGGGTTTTTTTTTTTTTAATACAAATTAGAATGCTTTAAAATAGATTTTTTTAAAATAATGTACATTTAAAATCAAGGTAAATTCACCAAATTTCCAAGTCTCACAGCCTTTATATTTGGCTGCAAATTTAAACCTGACAAAACATGAGTGTAGGAAGTGCAGGGGCCATGCTGGGATGGGAACAATTTGTGTGTCACCTAACTTTTCTTGTAGAATATTGATTAATTAGCTTTAGGCTAAAATTACCATATTATAGATATCAGAGAAAGAAGAAAATAATGTCATTTATGAATTTGTATTCATATATGGCAAATTTATAAGAAAAACAATATTTGAAAATGTGAGTTGTAGCATATTTTAAGAAAAATTATTTTGAGAAAGGCTGACCCATTCAAATCTTTATGACTTGAGGCTATATGCCTTGAGCATGTGGTTTACAGCTGTTAAGTATACTTCATTACATTAAATACATCATTTACTTATATTGACTCAAAGATGAAAATATTAATTAACTGATATTTTTTCCTCTCCTATAAATTAATTTTGAACAAAATAATTTTAAGTGTAAAAGTAAGTGACTGTAATTATTTAATTTTGAGGATTATAATGGATTAATCTGAGTCTTACATCCGTGTCCTGTGTCTGTTTTACAGGTACCAGAGATTGATAATCTAGAACAGAGAATGCTGACACTGTGGCTGAATAGAGCGCGGAAACTGGTGTCGCGTCGACAGCAGGACGTCAGAGATCAATGTCAGGAGTACATGACAAGTCGGTATTTAACTTTTAATTCCCTAACTCATGACATATCTCTGTCTTCATTATTTCTTGCTAGTAAGGCAAACCCCAACAGCTTAAAATTTATACCCTATTTATATTTTTGAATACTTGCATCTCCTTTGTCAGAGGAAGATTATAGAATAAATGAATGAAAAAAGTACAGGTAGTAGGCTAGTATAAGAAAATAACTTGTATTTTATATATTGAGAATATTGTTAATCAAATTCTTATCTATTTAAATGATAAAGGTAAGTAAAAAGGTGAGTTTTTTATATACCAAGGTATTAAAGACTTTCCTCCTTGTCGTGAAGAAGTTCTGTTTGAGACCAAACATATGGAACTTTTGGATTGATTAGGCGTAGAAAAAAAATATGTTTGTTTCCACTTTCCCGACCGACCCTAATTTATAGTGCCGACCCTAAAAATTTTTTTAATGCTTTTGTCCCATGAAGTGCAAGATTTCACCCAGGGAATTATAGTCTCCAACATTACAAGCTTTTCAAGACAGAAAGAAGTTTGGGTCACCTTTCTATTATAAGTTTAAGTCACAGAAATGCTTGAAAACAACATTTCCCTGCCATTAATGTTACTTCTATACATGTTTTGATTAAAAGCAAAAAAAAAAATATAAAAAAAAATGCCTACCTACCTACCCTATATTTTTTCAGCCTGAAAGCGGAAACAAACATATTTTTTTTCTAGGCCTTATGTTGATTATTTTACTTTTTAGGCACAGCTAATGTGGATATGAACTCACCTGAGGCACAGGAGAGACAGAGACGAGCAGCAGAGAGGGAGGCTCGCAGGTAAATAGAAACAGTTAACTTTATAAAAGGAGACAGGATTAGTAAAGATCAGGTAGACATAATGGAAAGCTTGCTAACTTCAGTACCTTTCTATTACAGATCACGCAGGAGACGAGCGAGAGAACTAAAAGACATAGTGGGGCACCATGACGGCTTGTCATCAGACGAAGAAGAAAATCAATCAGAAATAGCAAAATATAACCTGGAAAAAGGTGGCACTTTTACCCACAATTCCCCGTGCTGGCTGATGACATTTAATGTTGTATATGTAGATATGATTTACTGACTTGACAAGAGATGGGCTCGGTGACAGTTCCCCCTTCTGTGGGGTTGCCCTAAGATTGATAAGCTTGGTTGTCCTATGAATGAAAAACCCACAGTATTTTGTGGTATTAACTCACACTGATGACTTGAAGTGCCCCGCCCACCCCTGTGTATTCTCTACTTGCAGTCACATTAGTGCTTCAGAATATGAACAGCAAAGTGACACATTAAGTGTATGAAATATTTTGCCAAACTTGCTCACATTTGATTTTGTGGGTTAAACCAGAATATTTGTGTCATGACTTGAATTTGTACAATTTCAGAACAAGATAAATATTCCTGAAGTGTCTATTACCGGGTATTCACTATTTGTTGATATCTGTATGTGTAGAATGCTGACTCCTCTGTTTGATTTTCTGTAGAGTCGGTGCTGGGGTCCCAGGAGCGCGTCTTTGAGGACGTCGTGGAGGACTTCAGCGAGGTGGAGAGTGTCCGCGAACGCTTTGAGGACTGGAAACAGACATACAGGGACACCTACCAGGACGCCTACATAGGACTCTGTCTCCCTAAACTGTTTAATCCCTATATCAGACTTAGTCTTATCAACTGGAACCCACTAGAGGTACAGGACATTATAGCTAAATTAGTCAGGCTTGATACTTAATATGAAAGCCTAAGTTAAATAAATTAGACCTAGAGCAGATAGATGTGCAGACAAGTCTATATCGTATAAGCAGAATTTTTAGTCAGGATTTGGCATTATTAGCGAGGGTGTTGAAATCGGTAAAATTGAATATTGCTAAAAATTAATGGCGTTTTATTTGTAACGGCCTCTTTAGTGAGCTTTTTAGCTCACCTCAACGAAGTTGGGGGGAGCTTATGTGATACCCTCGGCGTCGGTGTCGGCGTCGGTGTCGGCGTCGGCGTCGGCGTCCCGGATTAAGGTTAATTTTTTTGGAGCAGTTTTCTTTTTAAGTACTTCTATGTCCTATATTGATTAGACATGCATGGAAGATGTTGCTAGTGAGTTTCATTGTACCAGTCAAAGTTTCAGATGCTGAAATTTCAGCAAAGAAATGACCAGGTTAATGTTTTTGGTGCAGGTTAACATTTTTGGTGCAGTTTTTGGTGTAGGTCTCATTTCCGAGTAACTATAAGCCCTATGTTGACCAAACTTACATGGATGATACATCTTAGGATGCATACTACCAGCCTTGCTTCGGATGCTGAATCTGACCTACATTTTCCGGTTGAGTGAACAGGTTAAAGTTTTTGGTGAAGGTTTCATTTCGAAGATACTTTGAGCCCTATGATGACCAAACTTGCATGGATGATACATCTTAGGATGTATTCTACTAGACTTGCTTCGGATGCTGAATCTGACCTACATTTACCGGTTGAGTGAACAGGTTAAAGTTTTTGGTGCAGGTTTCATTTCCAAGTTACTATGAGCCCTATGTTGACCAAACTTACATGGATGATACATGCAGATGCATACTACCAGCCTTGCTTCGGATGCTGAATCTGACCTACATTTTCCGGTTGAGTGAACAGGTTAAAGTTTTTGGTGAAGGTTTCATTTCGAAGATACTTTGAGCCCTATAATGACCAAACTTGCATGGATGGTACATCTTAGGATGTATTCTACTAGACTTGCTTCGGATGCTGAATCTGACCTACATTTTCCGGTTGAGTGAACAGGTTAAAGTTTTTGGTGAAGGTTTCATTTCCAAGTTACTATGAGACATATAATGACCAAACTTACATGGATGATACATCTTAGGATGCATACTACCAGCCTTGCTTCGGATGATGAATCTGACCTACATCGGGTTGAGTGAACAGGTTAAAAGGTTTTGGTGAAGGTTTCATTTTGAAGATACTTTGAGCCCTATAATGACCAAACTTGCATGGATGGTACATCTTAGGATGTATTCTACTAGACTTGCTTCGGATGCTGAATCTGATCTACATTTTCCGGTTGAGTGAACAGGTTAAAGTTTTTGGTGCAGGTTTCATTTCCAAGTTACTATGAGACATATAATGACCAAACTTGCATGGATGATACATCTCAGGATGCATACTACCAGCCTTGCTTCGGATGCTGAATCTGACCTACATTTTCCGGTTGAGTGAATAGGTTAAAGTTTTTGGTGAAGGTTTCATTTTCAAGGTACAGTGTACTTTGAACCGTATAATGACTAAATTGCAAGGATGGTACATCTTAGGATGCATACTACCAGACTTGCTTCGGATGCTGAATCTGACCTACATTTTCTGGACAGTAAACAGGTTTAAGTTTATGGTGCAGGATTCATTTCCAAGTAACTTTGAGCCCTATAATGACCAAACTTGCATGGATGGTACATCTAAGGGTGCATTCAACTAGGCTGGCTTCGGATGCTGAATATGACCTACATTTTCTGGATTAGTGGAAAGGTTAATTTTTTATACAGGTTTCATTTGCAAGTAACTTTAAGCCCTATGTTGACCAAACTTACATGGATGATACATCTTAGGATGCACACAAATGGACTTGCTTCAGATGCTGAATTCGACATACATTTGTATATGTAAAAGTTATGGGTAAGTCTATCACCAAGAAACTATAAGGCTTATATAAACCAGTTGCTTAAATGATGCATCAAGGGATGAAAACTCTCAATCTTGCTTCAGATGCTGGATTTTAATTACATTTTCATGATGAAGAACTAGTTTTTAGTTTTTATATAGGTCTATTCCAAAGTATCAAAATTGCATAAATTTTGCATTTTTGGATGTACACTTTTTGTTGGTTAATTGTGTGACTTAATATGCCTTACTTAAAGACAACACACGTTGAGGTGAGCTCTGTAATCTCTGATTACCTATGTTTAATATTGCTAAAATTACTTTTTGCTAAATTCAAGGACAAATCGCTAAATTTGCATCTCGCAAAAATTTCCACTTTTACGTATTATGGTGATTGGCAACTGAATGCAATAGTGAAAATGAATTCAACAGCCTGAGAAACGCTATCTAATAAAAAAGTATTTGATTTAATTATATTGTATAAACATTTTAGAATACCTGTTTAATATATCTTTTTTTTTTTAAGGCTAACTGTTTGGACTTTGAGGACACTAGATGGTTCGATACTCTCATATTTTATGGCTTCAAGCTCCAGGAGACGATATCTAAGGGAGACGATGATGTAAGACTACTGCCATCCATTGTAGAAAAAGTTATATTACCAAAATTAACAGGTAGGGGGTGTATTCAGAATTTGATACAATAAAGATAGGGCTTCAGAAACATTTTATAGATTTTTAGCTCACCTCAACGAAGTTGGGGGGAGCTTATGTGATACCCTCGGCGTCGGCGTCGGCGTCGGTGTCGGCGTCGGCGTCGGCGTCCCAGGCTAAGGTTAAGTTTTTTGGAGCAGTTTTCTTTTTAATTACTTCTGTGTCCTATACTGATTAGACATGCATGGAAAATGGTTTTAGTGTGTTTTATTGTACCAGACAAAGTTTCAGATGCTGCAATTTCAGCAAAGGAATTACCAGGTTAATGTTTTTGGAGCAGGTTAACATTTTTGGTGCAGTTTTTGGTGTGGGTTTCATTTCCAAGTAACTATCAGGCCTATGTTGACCAAACTTGCATGGATGATACATCAGGATGCATACTACCGGGATTGCTTCAATGCTGAATCTGACCTACATTTTCCAGTTGAGTGAACAGGTTAAAGTTTTTGGTGCAGGTTTCATTTCAAAGTAACTATAAGCCCTATGTTGACCAAACTTGCATGGATGATACATCTAAGGATGCATACTACCGGGCTTGCTTCAGATGCTGAATCTGACCTACATTTTCCAGTTGAGCGAACAGGTTAATGTTTTTGGTGCAGGTTTCATTTGCAAGTAACTTTAAGCCCTATGTTGACCAAACTTGCATGGATGATACGTCTAAGGATGCACACTACCAGGCTTGCTTCGGATGCTGAAGCTGACCTACATTTTCCGGTTGAGTGAATAGTTAAAAGTTTTTGGTGCAGGTTTCATTTCCAAGGAACTATGAGTTCTTTAATGACCAGTCTTGCATAGGTGATACATCTAAGGATGCATACTTCCAGGCTTGCTTCGGAAGCTGAATCTGACCTACTTTTTGTGGATGAGTGAAAATGTTAGTTTTAATGCATGTTTCATTTCCAATAAACTATGAGCCCTATAATGAGCAAACTTGCATGGATGATACATAAGGATGCACACTAATATATTGCTTCGGATGCTGAATTGGACATACATTTTTCAGATAATAGACAAGGTAAAAGTTATGGTTTGTCTATTACCAAAAACTATAAGGCTTATATAACATTGTATAAACCAAACTTTCACAAATGCTGCATCAAGAGATAACTTCAAATTTGCTTCAGATGCTGGATTTTCATTACATTTTCATGAAGAAGAAGTAGTTTAAATTTTTTATGTAGGTCTATTTCAAAGTATCAGATCAAAATTGCTTTTAAAAATATTTTCATTTTTGGAATGTATACTTTTTGTTGGTTAATTGTGTGACTTTGCCTTACTTAAAGACAACATTCGTTGAGGTGAGCTCTGTAATCTCTGATTACCTATGTTTTATATACAAAATTTGGAAGCAATTTCATGAATAATTTTTTTTTTCAGTCTCCAAAGCTGATAGATTTGATGATAATTGTAATTCAAATAAATTTTCAAAAATATACATGTAGATAGATTATAGGTAAGAATTTTTATTTCAGTGCTAGCGGAGTCTGTCTGGGATCCATTATCCACAACACAAACATCCCGTTTGGTGAACGTTGTCTCCAAGCTCATCCGAGATTATCCATGTATCCAGGCCAACAACAAAACTACACAGGTATGGTCTGTTACAATACATAATGTCTCAGTAATTTCAGGGTTTGACTTGAGAACCCAATGAAGTGTCAAGACTTATAAGAATAAACCACTCCTCAATTTTCTCAAAGTAACAACAGTTTTCATATTGAAGAAAGAAGAGCTACAAATAATTTTTATGAAATTGTGAAAATTTATTGCAGTTCTTTTTTTGTAGCAATTACTTAATGTGATTGTCAAAAGGATCAGAACCACACTAGAAGATGATGTGTTTATGCCTCTGTATCCAAAGTCGTAAGTTGAGCCTATTATTATGTTTCAAAAGAATGTACATCAAAACAGGCAGTGGTCTTGATAACATCGGGGAAAATCAAAACAAATATAATTTTACAGAGAAAAATAATAGATGGGATTATCTGTGCATGTTTGAAGACTGTTTAACACACTTGACCTATCAATTATTATGATAGCTAAGGATTGACTTAATTTCTAAGGTGATTTTATTATCTCTCCATTACAGGGTTTTGGAAAACAGATCCTCCAACTCCTCTGTGTTTTTCCACAGGCAGCTGTGGGTGTGTATAAAGGTAACACACATTAGAAGAAATACTTACATTTTATCTAAATCAAATTTGATTTTATGGTTTTTGAAAAAAAAAATGTTTTCTTTTTTCTTCAGTTGCTAGGTAACATCCTGAGCTGGCATGGTATTTTATCCAATCAGATGCTGCTGAGTTTATCACTGGATGGACTCCTCAATAGATACATCATTCTGGGGCTGTGTAATTCTGGTGTAAATAAAGAGACAATACAGAAGTGTCAGTCTGTAAGTCCACTCTACAGTCATACAATTACAGATTATTACAGTCTGGTCATTTCAAATTAAAGTGCAATAATTTGAAAGGACTTTTACACATAATTTAAACAAAGCAAAATTTTTTATCAAAGCATCATTATTGATTTCTTTTTTAGATCTTTTTTTATTGAACCCTAGTAAGGGTAAAAATTAAAAGAAAATACTGAAATAAAGCTTCACGATATGAATAGGCATTGTTCAAATGTTGACTGTTTGCCATCACAGATTATCTCCACATTCCCGCGGGAGTGGTTCAGTGATCTAGACGAGGACAGGACGATGCCACAGCTAGAGAACCTGAGTCGTTTTCTGGTGTCCGCAGCCAAGACCCTGTACACCGAGGGCCACAGTAAACTCGACTTCGACAAGAAAGATTCCAGGTATATATATGTACATCATTATACTGTCACAGTTACACCAGCTTTCCTGTGAATGATTCTTTTTTTTACAACATCTTGAAAAATATTTTATCATAACTGGATTTATTTGTATTATGACTTTATGACTGAGAACTAAATGAATTGTTGTGATTTTGTAGGGAGTACATCAAACAGATCAGTAAGATGCTGGTTAATATCCACGCCATGGAGTATGCTGTCAATCTCCCTATGTGAGAGAAATACATGTGTTTGTCTATTGCGTCTAGAAAATGCGGAACAGGATTCTGAGTAAGGTTTTGTGATATTGACCTGTTATCACTAGTGATATTGACCTTTGGTCACTAGTGATATTGGCATCACAAGTGATATTGACCTTTCACCACGGGTGATATTGACCTTCCAGCACTACTGAGGCTGACCAATGTTGACCCACCAACAATGGCCAACTGTTGACATTGTGGTCATGAAATGGATTCTCATCCAGTAGCAATCAAAGATTTCAGAATCTTGATACATGAACTCTTAATTTGACATTAGACACTACTCTCCAGTTGTGTTATTGCCACTGTTTTAAAAAGGATGCTTGTTTTGATTCACTAGGATATAACTTTATCAGCTAGATAAGTTGAATGTGATTCAGACTTCCGAGTGATGAAATCAAATAATTGGGTTCATTGTTAACTGATTTGACTGTAAATGTAAAAAGGTTATAAACAAAGTCAATTTCTTTATGGTCAGATGAATCTGTTTATATGTACAGTATAATATGTCATAAAAATCAATGACAGATTTGAAATAAAAGCAAGTAACATCAAGACCAGTAATTTGTATATGTCTTATTTTAGTAACTTAAATAAAAGAAGAATGATGCACATATGTGTTGCATTTTGAGTTGGAAAATTCATTTCACTTCAACCTTTTTACGCTCCCTTTCAAAGAAGGGAGGGCATATTGCTTTGTTGCTCTCTGTTGGTCAATCCGTCTGTTGGTCCACTTAGTTTCGATTCATTTTCTTCTCAACTGAAATGAAATTTGGTATACAGATATATCACAAGAATATGAAGGTCAAGTTCTGTTTTGGATACGATCGCGCCATTTTTGACAAGAGTTATGCCCCTTAGACTTAGAAAAATTCCAGTCATTTGCAGTTTCCGTTCATTTTCTTGGCAACCTTTGCACCTACTGAAATGAAATTAAGTATACAGATTTATCATATGGATACCTAGGTTAAGTTCTGTTTTAGGTATGATCACACCATTTTTGACAGAGCTATGCCATTGCACATACAGAAATGAAATTTGGTTTGCATATATATCACATGAATATCTAGGTCAAGTTCTTTTTCGGATACGATCGCACCCTTTTTGACAGAGTTATGCCCCTTGAACTTAGAAAAATTCCAGTTAATTCCAGTTTCCGTTCATTTTCTTTGCAACCATTGTACATACTGAAATGAAATTTGGTATACAGATATGTCACATGAATATGTAGGTCAAGTTCTGTTTTGGTTACGACCGTGCCATTTTTGACAGAGTTATGCCCCTTAGACTTGGAAAAATTCCAATTATTTGCGGTTTCTGTTCATTTTCTTTGCAACCGTTGTACATACTGAAAAGAAATTTGGTATACAGATATATCACATGAATATGTAGGTCAAGTTCTGTTTTGGTTATGACCGTGCCATTTTTGACAGAGTTGTGCCCCTTAGCCTTAGAAAAATTCCAATTATTTGCGGTTTCTGTTCATTTTCTTTGCAACCGTTGTACATAGTTAAATGAAATTTGGTATACAGATATTTCACATGAATATGTAGGTCAAGTTCTGTTTGGGATATGACTGTGCCATTTTTGACAGAGTTGTGCCCCTTAGACTTAGAAAAATTCTAGGGATGTCAATTTTACTCGGGCAGCTTAGTCGAATAGTCAGATGCTTTAGTCGAACGATAGTCAAATATTCGTTTGATTTTAATTATTTTTTCATATCATCTTCACTATTTGTCTTTTACAGACTAGTTTACAATATTTAACCTACGCTATCACCATTACACAACAAATTCCTGAATTGTAAACATGTACGTAGTACAATAAAAACTGCACATCAATATGTATCCAATGTATTTAATTTCAAAATTAATATATTAGCTGCACATTTTATCTAAATGCAGGATATCAAAAGCTTGATTTGTCCTTTCTTTACATAACGGTAGTACATGTACCCCCATAATTGTCCCCCGCTTGAAAAGTGGGGGATATTAATTTGGGTTTGTCCATCTGTCCGTCCGTTCGTCTTTCTGTCTGTCTGTAACGCTTTGGTTTCCACACGATATCTCGAGGACCCTTTGAGCTTTTGCAATGAAATTCAGCATAGCAACTCCCTGTGGACTAATGAGGAACTCTATTGATTTTGAGGTCAAAAGATCAAAGGTCAAGGTCATAAATAAGCAAATTCTGTCTGTTATAACACTTTCGTTTCCACACGATATCTCTAGAGCCATTTGAGCTATTGCAATGAAATTTTACATAGCTACTCCCTTTGGCCTAAGGAAGACCCCTATTGATTTTGAGGTCAAAAGGTCAAAGTTCAAGGTCGTAAATTTATACATTCTGTCTGTGTGTAACACTATCATTTCCGGGCGATATTTCAAGAAGATTTTGAGCTTATGCAACGTAATTTTATACCAAAACTCCCTAGGACCTCTCTCACCTCTCTCAAAGTGCCCCGCCCCGTTTGTTTTAGTAGTATTCATAGTATTACATGTCGCTAATTTTAGCACAGAGGCGTGAGGAGAGTTACTGCGTATAAAACAGGTTCTCGGCGGACTTTATGTTCTTATTACATCTATTAGAACTGTTTAATAAAGGCTAAATAAATCAAACACCATGGATTGTGTAAAATTTTGAGAATACCGAACATAAATATATACATGTATGTGACTTCGGTTTTGCATATACATGAATCCGACGAAAGCGATTCCGTGGTCGAGTGATATGTCTCTCGCTTCACATGTGAGAGGGCCCGGGATCGAATTTCGGGTGATATATATTTTTTTTTTTTTTTTTTTTTTTTTTTTTTTTTACTAAGTGATAGTATTCATGCAGCATGTGAAATGAAAAATTTATGATGTTATAAAATCATCATTACAGTGTGATAAATATTCCATATAAAAAGAATCTTCTATATACATAATAAAGAATAAGCAATCAAATCTTTATATGCATATTGACATACATGTATTTTATTTTCTTCAGTATACATGTATACATTTAACAATTCTACAAATTCAGTCAGGGGGGTCCGACTTTTTCCCTAAGCGGGGGACACGAATTCTCTGAATTAGCTTGTTGAAGCCAATTTCTACGTGTCCGTCAATGACCTTTGACAGGTAAACAAAGTGTGTCTCTTATGAAAACAAAGAGAGACAGAGAGAGAGAGAGATAGCTTGGGATAAATTTTAATTATGAAATTTTGTGCAAACAATCAATGATGGCATGAAATTAATATCAGAAAAAGATAACACGGTTTAATTACTGTTATAACTGACCCCAATTTATGTGTATTTTGAAGATATGTTTGCCGAAAATATATTTTCCTTTGAACAGTTATACCGTACCCTTAATTTTTACATATGAAAATATTGATCTGTAAATAAATGAAATGGGCAAATATAAGTTTATTGCCTTGAATTCAATATTACATGTACTTTGATGAAACACATTTTTAACGAATAACCGACTAATGAAATTTTAGTAGATAGTCGGTATGATCGAACGATAGTCGAGTACTCGAATATTCGTTGACATCCCTAAAAAATTCCAATTATTTGCAGTTTCCGTTCATTTTCTTGGCATCAGTTGCACATACTGAAATGAAATTAAGTGTACAGATTTATCCGATGAATATCTAGGACAAGTTCTGTTTTGGGTACAATCGCACAATAACACAGTTATGCCCTTTTGGACTTTGAAAAATTCCAATTTTGGGGAAGGGGAGCATAAGTGTTTTACAAACATCAAGATATTATCTCGTTTTCACAAGATAATATCTCGTTTTCACAAGATAATATCTCGTTTTCACAAGATATTATCTCGTTTTCACAAGATAATATCTCGTTTTCACAAGATAATAAGTCGTTTTCACAAGATAATATCTCGTTTTCACAAGATAATTATGTCGTTTTCACAAGATAATTTTTTTCTGGTATTTAAAAAAAAAATAAATGCGTGTCCTAAATATACCACCGTAAACAAGAGCATATTGAACAAAGAAAAAAATTTCTTTAATGATGCAAGCTACTGACAAATAAGTTGATATGTAAATATATTTACGTTTTACACATACATTTTTTGGCTTATCAAATGTGTGGAAAGGTATGTTCAAAGAGAGTAAGAATATCAGCTATGCATTTTCTAGGGATGTCAAATAGGTCAATTTTTGATAATCGGTTACTCGGGCGGTTTTCCAATGGATTACAATGGTACTCGGTAAAATATAGGCGTGTTAATTTAATTGAGACTAGTTAAGCCCTGATTAATCCCGTCATTGATTTTTTTTTTTTACGTTTTAATGCCTGTTACAATCATCAAGCCAAACGAAATCAATTTTTGTTCTAATTTTATTTATCAAAAAAAAAACTTTTTAAATACAAATGGTTATGTCACATCTCTTATGAAGGGGTGTAATGCAGCTTTGTAAAAATTATAAATATCTTTGAAGAGAGAAACCCAACTTATCAGGATCAATAGACGTTTATTACTAATATTTACTTGATAGAATTTTATAAAACGATACTCAGTAAAAACAATTATTTTAAAATTTATATTATACATGTATATCCAAAAAAAAGGTGTGTGTGTGTGTGTGTGTCAAAATAGTTGATAACAGCTGTATGCTAGGTGATTTGGTCATGGGAAATACTGTATAAACGAGTATACAGCCACGGGTGATAATGGGTAATAATTTTATAATACCGCGGGTATGATTTTTAATAAAACGTTAATTCTACGTTATTTTTTGGATTTTTTCATATGGAATACAATGTGAATGTGTACTAGAAGATGTAAATATGAAGATGAATAAAAATATCTTTGAACCCGGTGTATGAGTGAACAATTCTCGAGAGGGACGTTAAACAACATTCAATCAATCAATTTTTCAAGAATTATATAAGACATAGTGTAAAAGGCATGTGGTATCATTGCAAGATATAACAAATCATTTGAAATTTCATATCATGCTAATAAGCGTTGATATCCAAGGCCAGATTCAAGAAAATCATTTCTCTAAAACTGGACCATCAATTTTGTCCTTTTGTAAGGTAAAAGTGTTAACTTTTATAAGGCCCTTTCTAAGACCTTCAAGAACTGTGAATCATTTTAAGGTGAATAAAATGAAAATTGTTGCATGTAAAGTTTTCAGTTTCTAGCTTCATGTTGATTCTGTTTCAATTAAATATTAGTTTTTGGAGTTATCTTTCCTGGCTGAGGATCGGATATCCTTAATAGAGTACATGTGCATCTGTGGTACATGAAACTGATCATGATGCATGTTTCTTTAATGATTTCTGAAAATCTTTGTTTAATAAACAAATAAAATGTGCATAGACGGGGTGCACTCTTGATGCAATTATCAATAAAGAAATGCACATTTTTTATAAATGCATTTCAGTAAATCAATACACGAGCTTAATTTTCATGCATTTAATAAGCGCATATTGATTTGTTTAATTTGAATGCAAATGAAAGACTGAGTTTACATGTACATAACTGTATGGGATTTTTTTTACAACTCATATCCTCTTACCGTTTCCATCTATACCTCGGC